CAGAAGCTTTTCGACACGTTCATTTTGGCGAGCTTCCTTAAAAGCAATCCGTGGTCCACCAGATCAAATGCTTTGCAAAAGTCAATAAATAGGGCGTGAATACCCATTCTTCCATCACATGAGTTTTCAGTCTTGTTGAACCATTTTCGGGTGATGCTCGCCAGTGCAGATACAGTTGATCTACCGTGTGTAAATGCATGTTGATTGTCCTTGATCCATGTTGATAGCCAATTGCAGTAATACTAAGATTTGGCGAAAATCATTATCCATGTCATTAGGAGGGTATATTTTAGGCACTGGGGTGACCAATGCGTGTTTATATAGGGTTGGGTATTTAGCCTGGGAGATGCTAGAGCATATGATGTTATGAATAACAGGGGCAAGTTCTTCATGGTAACGTTTCAGTAACGATGGAGGGATCTCATCTGAGCCAGTGGCCTTCCTGGGATTTAGATATTTAAGCTAGGGTAGCCTTAATTTGTCCGATGGAAGGCAACGGGGGACTGGTATCATTCTTAAGTAGGTGTTCAATTTCCCCAACGTCTGGAATTTCAGTGGGGTTGGCATTCTGCCAAGGTTTGGTGAAGCTTTGTTGCAGGCGTTCCGCTAAGTCAGCTGCATCATCAGCTGGTGGTTGAGAGTTACAGTCATTAGCAGCAGCAAGTTTAAATATGGTTTTGTACCACTTTGCCGGATTCGTTTCGCGTCTACCCTCTGCTATTAGTTGATAGTAATTATTTTTCGCATTTGATACAGGTGAGGTAACTTTGTCACATAATAGTTTGTACCTTGTTATACCTCCAGATTTAAACGCCTTTTGTCTAGCTTTTATTTCATGCTTTATACGCGGTGTCATCTACGGCTTGTAGGAGGGGTGGGCACGTACAGTGCGTTTAGGCAGCGATTTATCAAGCATGCGCACGATAGTACAAGTGAACGAACTTACTTTCGCGTCAACCTCTCTGGCATTGTATACTGTTTCCCAGTTCTCTCTATTCATATGTATGCCCATTTGGATTAGGTTACTACATTTCGTCAGGCGCACTTTTCGGGAGACTGGTTTAACCTTTTGTTTCAACTTTGGGGTGAGCAGTAAGCACTGGTGGTCGGAACGGCCGATCGCTGGAGGATGTTGAACATCATTGTATAGCTCTGGCATATTGATAAGGATTTGGCCTAGAATATTTCTACCTTTTGTAGGAGCCCGTACAGTTTTTTTAAGGTTGAAACATCTACATAGTGGGTTCAGTCTCATTTTGTTGAAATCTCCGGCGATAATTACGCCAGCTGAAGGGTGGTCCTGCAAAATGTTGTCAAGTCCGTTAGTAACATACTCGTACATTGCTCTTTCATCTTCAATTGTCTGTCCAGGTGGGTAGTACACACCAATAACTATTATCGCACTATAGGGCCTGGGGGTTCTGGGCGGTTTAAGCAAGAGCCATAGGACTTCTTTCCCATCCTCTTCAAGGTTTCTTAGGCGGGTAGTCGGTATTTTGTTATTCACGTAGGCTAAGACACCGCCACCAGGCGTGGGACGGTCACAACGATGTGCATTGGATTTATTGCTTATTTCCACAGCAGCATCCGGGATGTTTGAAGTTCAGCCAAGACTCTGTAATTATGATCAAGGAGGGGTTATTGACTGCGGCAATTCCAGAGAGTTCAGTTATTCTGTTCGTTACATGACATGCGTTGGTTAAGAGTATAGATGGAACTGAATAGGCAATTGATGATTCACATATATTGTTTTTCCTTATTGGAATAAGTATTAAGTTACGACTGAGTTTTTGGTTAGTAGACCTCTGTACTAGTCGACGGTTGGTTATTCTAACCGGGATGGTTTCAGACTCATTATTCAAACGATTAGAAATTGGACCAAAAGATGTATATGCCAAGTCAGGTATTACGTACTGGTTCTGGTTATTTGGTCGACTAGGTCCAAATACTTGAGCCAGTCCGGAGGGCGACGGTTCGAACGATGTTGCCGAAAATTTATCAGGTTTGGCCGCAGGCAATTATTTGTATTTGTTCTAGAGAGAGACTGGATGAAATTTGGTGGTTCAGAGCACTCAACATGCCAATTAGTTTCGTCTGGATCGTTGAATTGAGCATTAGTCGCTTCCTTAATTTCAGATTTATTTCTGTATGAAAATTCGTCTGTCTCATTTGGTTCTAGGGGTTCAAGCAAAGGTAGCCATTTCAACCATTCGTGTGGTTGTTTGCTAGGTAGACTGTGTTTATATTTCTTTTCGCTTTGATCCTGATCGCTATGTTCTATCCTGTTATTCGTGTCGCAGTGTGTGACGTCTGTTGTGCCGTTTGCCATTTGTTTTAGACTATTAATTGTATTCAATGATGTTTTATGGCCTTTGTATTTGGTGTTAGGTTTAGGTTTAATTCTGCGTATGACACTTTGTTCAGGAGAACAATCGGCATCTCGAATAGCTTCGCCTTGATCATTGTATTGAATGTTAGTCGCTTCCTTAATTTCACATTTGTTTATGTGGGAAATTTTGTCTGTCTTATTTAGTTCTAGGGGATCAAGCGCAGGGTTCAACCACTCGTTTTGATCTTGATTGCTTTCTAAATTAACGCGTGATTGATTTGTATTTTCATCCAAGGCCAAGGGTTTTATAATCGATATTTCGACATTGTTTAACTGATTCAATGGAGGTTGTGTTGGCGGCGAGGCAGTCTTACTCTCATTGTTCTCCGGGGAATTCTCATTCGTTGTTAATTTCTTTGGTAGGGGATTATCTAGTTTGGCTTCTAATGCATCAATTCTGCTTTGCATATTAGACAATTGGTCTCTGAGTTGATTGATCGATTCAGTGTTTTGGCTAGTATCTTTTTGGTTTATTGAGATACTGTTTGAAAGCTTAGATTGATTAATTACAACATCGAGTTTAACGCCTTCCAGATCCATAGACAAGTCATAATATTCAGAGCGAGATGAGTTTTCTGTTTGATTATCGTTGTTTAGGACATCGGACTTGTATAATTGTTCTGAATCGGCGTTTATGATAGTCGGCTTGTTGAGTGAGTTGTAGATATTATGCGTTAAATCATATAAACAGTCAACTTTCCTCTCAACTGTTAAGTCATTTTCAGGTACTGAATCAACTGTTAATATTACATTTAAATTTTCTGTAGTGCAATCATGTAAGTCGTTACTAACCTCATTGTTGTTAACAAGATTGGTAGGGTCATTAGGTACACTAGGGCAAGTGTCTTTTGTGTTGCAAGGATTCGGATTACCATATTTATCCGCTTCAAATGTTGGCGCTTTCGAAGCTGCACTACAATGATTTGCCTCTTTCCAGTTCGCAAAATCCCGAAGTTGTGTAATCATCGACGCGAGTTGTGCAACAGACCCCGATAGCGCTTGAATCGCCTCTCCATTGATCAACTGTCCCCATTTAAGAGTTTCAATCCCCTTACAAGTACATGATGATTGCACGCTTGATCGCCTCGAGACAGGCGTTTCTGAGCTGTCTTCGTCTTGCCCACATATAATTTTACACATCTTTCCCACGATATCGTTTGCTCTCTTCCCATCGATACTCAGCAAGTTCTTATTCCTTCGCCAAATTATCGTTGCTTCATCTCCAGTGAATAGCTTTTTATCTCCTCCAGGCTGCGACCAAACGCCCTCCAGCTGCAGATCGTCGCTTACAAAATTCGTCAGTGATTGATAATCACCAGTCCATGCTAAGCTAAGCTTTTCACCCAATAATATCGCCTTAACCTTATTCGCGTTCAAAGATTATGCGTTCAAAGGCTAACCAAGTAAATTATTGATTCATTTATAGCCTTTATACTTTCTTAATTACTAAAGTTGAGGAGCCCAAAAATAGACATCCTCCTCGAGCCAATATGTGTTCAATATGATGATGATGATGATTATGATTAATATTGCTATTGCTATTGCTATTACTATTACTATTATTGTTTTTATTGTTATTATTATTATTATTATTATTATTATTATTATTATTATTATTATTATTATTATTATTATTATTATTATTATTATTATTATTATTATTATTATTATTATTATTATTATTATTATTATTATTATTATTATTATTATTATTATTATTATTATTATTATTGTTATTATTATTATTATTATGACGATGATGCAACCTCGTTCCCAGGGCTTTTCCCTTTTTGTCATTGGGAAGGCGGGAAAAAGGCCCTGGCACCGGCCGGTCTTCTATGTATTCTGATTGGTCAATGACAAGTATATTATTATGCAAATAATGCAATCTTGGATTAATTTATTCAAACTTGGGGATAAATTAACACTTCATGCAAGGAGTGTCCATTATTAATACTTTGTCCGTCTAAGAAATATTTTTGGCAAAATCTGTGGCAAAATGGTTAAATTCGATAAGATTTATACACAATTTGTCGAAGGTTAGTATTATTGTTTGTTTTAAACTGTGAGAGAAGATTAATTGTGTACCAGAACATACCTCTGAGGCTCTGACCGAGGATTTAGGGCAAAATGTGCCTTCATTGGCTTCGTATAGCGGTAATGTTTATATTTATAAAATTAAAGTCTGGGTTTATAAACTGAAACATGACCTTTAGTTTTTGATATTCTTCATAGTCGAGTTTAAATTGGCCTAATTTATAGTTAGTTACCACTAGAAATGCGACGATATTTTGTTATATCATATATGCAACAGTGTTTACAACTTTTGAATAATATGTGATTTGGTTTTGTTTCAGATACTATTACATGTTGCTTCATTTTACCATAAATTGTGTTAAAAAGTGATTTGCTCATTTGGCTGATGTTACAGTTTTCTGATGTGTTTTGTTTGGATGATAATGAAATTGTTCTAATATCATCATGATATTAGAACAATTTCAATATGAAAGTCCAGGTGTCTTTAGACATGAGCCATAATGTATATATCAAAATACTGATAAAATCCGTTTGCAGCTTGATTTTAATTTCATTGTTGTATTTGCATTGTTGCAGACAAAGTTGTGCAATGGCGGGCTTATGTCACATACTCGTATGTAATTCCATGTGCCTGCATGTACTTTGATGCCTCAAGAGATGCTTCGAATGTGTAATAAAGGGCTGTTCGCAGGAGTTGGGCTGTCTGGCCATAAATTGCATTGTTTATTTATGATATTTTAAGATTGTATTCATATGGCTGGACCATCTTGCCATTGCCACAATGTCTGATGTTCAAACAGGCTTTAAAATCAGGTTACAATGCATGCTTGAAAATATGCAACAATTTCACTGCTAATAATATTCCAGAAAATCCTGCCTCTTGGGCAGATCTGGACTGATTTGTCAGAAAGGGGTTGGAGGTTTTCTACTTGTGATCGGGCAAGGGGAGCTAAGCCAAGGGTGCTGGGTCAGAGTCAAACTCATGTGAACAGCTTCTAAGTCCTAATTATATTGATAAATTATGTACACTTTGGGATGGTAATGCAATTTGTAAAATATTCCACATTTTATTTAATAAAATTTAATTATATACATTGTTTTTGTTGTTTATATTAACACCTTGGACAGTATATATTTACACCTTTGGACCCTGTAAATAAACACCTTTGGAGGATGTACCCATTCTAAGCCAAAGACATTTAAGAACAATTATCATGGTATTTGCATGATAAAATATATTTAAAACTGCTCTCCATATACATGTAATGCATGGTTCAATTCTTGCTTTTACCAAGTAAACCCAGGGATTTTCAATGTCCCCCTCCTCCCGTAGAATTCACTTGAAGTGACTGGGGCAAGGTAGCTATAAGTATAAGTAGGTATATAAAAGTCAATTAAAATTTACAAATAGAGCTTTTTGAATATAGACCATTGCAAACATTTTTTTAATTTGTTTAACCCTTTATAGTGGCAATGTGCCCTACTTTAG